TATTCTACTATAATATACGAGATATTTATATGTCTGGATTTATCAAACCAATGTCAATTAAAAGTGGACCATTTTCGCTTCAACGCGCTCTAAGCATTTTTTGTTCTTGCCAAAGTGGGCGATATAAAAACACAAACGAATGTCGGTCTTTTTTCCTCTTCTTCCTTATCCCCCTTTTTGCATTGTTTTTTTCCCATCACTTGAAGTGATTCAGTTTTAGGTCTTTAAATAATCATAAAATCAAAGACTGTAGCCTACCATGTGAAAAAAGAACGAACTTTTAATTTATTAGCACCGTTTTCATAAATCCTGTCATATATAAAAATATATACGGTGTAATAGTCCAGATATATTGTAAGAAGTATAGTTTTAAGTCTTAGTTTCGATTCGATAAGTAAGGATGGTTCTATCCGTAAAGAATCACAAGAAAAAGCTAGAGAATTGATCAGATATGACATAACTTGTCGGCTGAGGCATTCCTGGTTTTTTTATACACTTCCTTTTATTTTTTTCGTGACAAAAATCGTGCTTCACTTGAGAATCGACTTTAGCAGTTTAAATCCATTTAAAGTGAACAAAGTAAACTGAGGGGAAGAACGGAAAATTATTCTGGCATTACATTATTGATAGATCTTATCCTAGAAATTGTTCCCGTTGTCAATCAAATAAGGCATAAGAAATTAAACGGAAAACAATTGGTACGTTGCTCTCGCTCTCAAAAATGCAAAATGTCAAAATGTAAATTAAAGCTTTTTTATTTTTATATGGATGTTTTGTTACAGGGCTTGTGGTAAATGTTTTTCTTTTTTATTGGGTTTGTAATAGATGTTCAGCCTTGTTAAGTTTTGTTAAGTACCTTGCTCCTTGGCAATCACCACAAGAAGCGTAAATAGCGCAATGAACCAATAAGAACGCGAGATGAAGTAAATCGGCAACCGATGCTAAATGCAAGAGTCCAGTAAGTTCCATTTGATTTGTAATCACTGCAAATCTGGAACAAAATTTTCGCTCCAGATTGGTTGAACAGATAAGCGGCTTGCTCAGAGCAGTAAAAACACATTGCATGTGATCTTTGAACGACTTACAGAGTGACACATGTATTATTCTCTAACGTCGACCAGCCAAAATGTTCTCTTTTTGAATAAATACTGTGTAGTAAATTAATTAAAGCTTTCGAGCAGGGTCAGCATGAAAAATAATTAAGCGTTTACAAACACAATCCGTATTTTTAGCTAGGCGGACGTTCATTGGGCAAATGCGGCTCACAGAAAGATATGTGACGAGCAGGGAACCACCTGTCTTAACCCTCGTACAGCAACAATAACAACAACAACAACTACAACAACAGTCTTTATTTACACTATTCAGGTACTAGCTTACTCACACCCCAACCGTGGTACAAGGGAGGGGGAGAGGTAAATGGCACCCCTGCCCTGGGTTTTCGTTCTGTTAAGGCACAAAGAAATAAATTTACATTGATTAACTTGCTGGAACTTGCTCTATAAGATGATATCATTTATGTTGGTTATGACGCCATTAGACCCGCCATCTTGGATTTCACTATTTTCTTAAATAGTCAAGAAATAACGGAAATGAATACAAAATCAAGCCAAATGCTTATAAAAGGTTGAAATTCATAAATTTATGCAATTTGATGAAGAAAACTCGAAGAAATACAGAATTATCTCGAAAAAGCTGATTTTTGGCCAGATCTACATGAAGTTTGATGGTTGCCATGGCCACATCAGAAACGATGGACACACAATTGACATATCAAAATTTCTGTAGAGAATAAATGAAGAGCTACTGAAAGTTTCAGCCCCGTAGAACTCTTAGAGTAAATCGTCTTTTCAAAACTTTGAAAAAAACCTTATGGGGTTGTACTTCCGAGGGTTAAGAGACGATCGACCTCCTGCAAGGTCACCAGTTTTCCAAAATATCGCCATTATTGCAATGCGTTGTAAGCTGCCACCACTTCTTGTGGGCGACCGCAACCACTTTTAGGCTTTTTTATTTCTTATTTTTACCTCCGACGGGTTAATAGATTTCCGATCAAACCACTGGAGATACCGTCAATAAGACCCTAATACAAAGACTATAAAGCTAAGATAAATATTATTTCCGACGAATTAACTTGAGAAGAAACCCAAAATAAATATTTTGTCGGCATGAGATAGAACAGGGCCTGTTTACAAGGCCAGGGGCACCATGAGGAGTGATACTGTACATAAATATGGCCAGGTTATTGATCAAGCGTGAGGTTAAGATAGCTGGATGTTGTCAAGATGGCTGGATCTTTTTTTGCGAGTTTATGGACCGAGTAAGTAGGACTAAGTAAGAGTCAGTCACTTTAATTAAGTCTTACTTAGCTACATAGAAAGCTACTTCACAGGTCTGCTCACAACAAAAATAAGAAATGAAATAACTTACAATGAATAATATTAAAAATTGTATAATTACTGTTAACGTCGATAAAATAGGAGAGACGGAATCGAGGCCCATAAACTCGCAAAAATAAGAACGAGGCCAATATCCAACCATCTTGATCGAACAAGTTTGGTCATTAAAAGGATTTATTGTATGGCTCTCGGGTAAATTTTTCTCGTGGAGCACTGTGGGTAGTCCTGAGCGGCCTGAAGATAGCGCAATCTTGCCCGCTCGGGTGGCCAATCACAACGCAGGATTTGATTCGTCTTTACTCACGGAGATAGCCGTAAATGGTAGGGTATATCCGAGTGTTGCCAACTCAACCGCGTTCTTTTAGTCCTCGTTTTGTTCTTTGTCTTGTTTTCCAGATTTCATTCGTTCCTAGGATCAGTGGATTTTCCTTTGTATAGTCTCGTAGGAATGGCCCCTAACCTTTTCTTGCTTGACCTTGGCTCCTACCCACCTTTCCTGCCCGTGTTTCTTTTTTTTTTTNGGGGGGGGGTGTATTTTCGGGGGTAGTTCTGACGTCCGTCTGACCGCCTTTGTTTCAGTTGCAAGCGGTAGCTCAGCTCTGTTAGTTCAGCGTCTTTAATCGTTTCTTACTTGTCGGCTATATATAGTAGTATTGTAACTGGCGAAGGTCTTTGATCGAAACGTTAATTAAATTTTTTGCTTTTCTTAACGTCCATGTGGTGAGGTTTGGATTGTGAATCCTCTTGATCTCCTGACGCTGTGGCAACTTTGTTGGCTTGAGGCTTCTACAAACAGAACAGCTATATAGAGTGTATACAGTCAGACCTGTATTTAAAGGCGGACACCCTTGGGACCCTCACTAGTGTTCGCTTAATACACAGCAGGGTGTCCGCTCTAAGCAGGTTCTAATATATAGTGCAATAACAGTTACTTATTAACCCTTTTTTAACTCAGAGTAACACAGTGAAAGATCAAAGACTTCTCATAGCACAATGTCCAGTCAGTCAATGCATCAATCTGGAATAACCTACTTAGCTTTCAAACGACATCGCTGAACAATGTTAAAGGAGTCTGAGCTGAGCTTTCAGAAGTAAAAAATTCTTGCAGGTTTTGTGCAACAAAATGGCTTAATATAGGTGTTTGCGTCCGCTTTACAGAGGTGTCCGCTGAATGCAGGTTTATTTTACAGTAAATGTAGGAAGAAAATTTTGGGACTCAAGCTGATGTCCACTTAATAGAGGGTGTCCGCTTAATGTGGGGTCCGCTTAATACAGGTTTCACTGTATACGTATCAGTCATCTTGCCTGGGTGTGGCCGTTACCATGTCTAGGTGACTACAAGGAGCCATACGCCGTGCGAGCTAGGGCGCATATGTGGACCAATGTAGTTCAGCCATCCAACAGAGGTCTGGCAGATGCGACCACTTCGCGGTAAAGGTGTTACCACCCCATACTCTCCACCATACACCCCATCGGAATTCACGTCCCATAAACAAGGATGGTGTTGTTCAGTTTTGTCGTACAAGTTCAAAACCTTTAGCAATATCACGTTGACTGGAATTGATTACGACTGAATGTCATTGAAATAACACGTTGTTTTCACGCGCGATTTGGAAAGAAGTTGGAGTTGCAAACCTAGGCGAGACAAAACTCGTCTTTCATTGAAATCGAGACAATGCAAAAATAAGTTAAATGGCCCTTAAAAATTTGGTATAAATCGCCGCGAAACCGAAAATGTTGTGTACAATTGTTTCGTCAACTCTTTGCGTTCCACTCGTACTATTCAAAGGCTGTGAACGTGCATTCACACCTTCGCGTTGCTTGCAACTCCTTTTTTACTAGTTTCTGCGTCCGACCATGGAGCTACTCAAAATCCCGATCAATAAACTTGAATTTATAGCTTCACCATCAGGGATTACTCTGTGTAGGCTTTGAAGGCAAAACAATTTGTATTTTAGCGCGAGAAATAGCTTCCGGAAAGGATTTGGTACTAAAGGAAAAATTGCGAGAGGGATTGGGACTCGCCAGACTCGTGCCCGAGCCCTGGTTCTGTGGGACTTTGTGTCTCGCGTGTCACGCAAGACATCTCGAGAGTAAAACGAGAAGAAAAAGATGATGTTTTGTAGTCTGGGAATTGCTGGGATATAATTCACAAACACATATTAAAAACTTCGGTACCTTCCCATGGTTATGAAAGCAGAACATTTCTGAAACAAGTTGTTTTCTTAAAATGCAATACTTTAATCTCTTTTTAAACTCTTCATAATGAGTAATTATTTTCCCGTTTTACAAATAATTGGTAAATAATTGCTGTACAATACTTTTAGACATATTCTTAACATCCTTTGTTTGATTATCGGCCGTTTCTTACTAAACAAGCCCATAATCAACTGTGGTCGGTTCATTCTCAGTTTCGAAATTATGTTGAAATCATCATATAACATATTTACAAATGTTTTGTGTTCAGATGGGAAAGCAGTACATAACGTCTAAGTTTATTTTAAAAGCCGGTTCATATTTTACATAAGCCAAGAAAAGGTTTTTAGATTAATTACCAATTATCAGACAATAACTGTGTAAGCCTCATAATAATTGATTATGTTTTTTTTTTTTATTTGCGCTCTAAGATGTCTTTGCTTCTAATGACCCAATTTCTTTACTTAACTGCTTGCTCAGAAACTGAGCCTGGGGATTAAATTTGGACGACTTTCGAAACTTCTACTTCCTAGCTTCCGTAATTCTGAAACAGTCGTTACGGCATGTAAGAGTACATGCAGTCGATCTATACTCGATATTTCAGATCCACGGGATTTCGCCAGCAAGTCAGTTGGCCAATTCGGGAACAAGAGTAGATAATTTTCTCCATGGACTGAATAAAAGATATAGTTTACTTCATCGTTGCTCTTCTTAAGGAGAGATTTACTTTACCAGCCAATCCCGTGCGAATCTTGTTCATGGATTTAGCTTCCAATGACAGGCTTCTCATAGTTTTAGCCCTCTCAGGGTTGTCTTCAAAGAAGAACTTCTGGTGATTCTTTGCGTCCACCATCAAGCGTTGAGAGGCCTTGTATCCATATAAGCCTTTGTGGAAGCGAAAAGCCTGGCATGTCATGTTCTCTTCATCTCTTCCTTCTGCTACATACATGTAAAACTTTGCGTTATCGCAGAACATCGAGATGATGTCACGCCAGTGAAAATTGTGACACACTGCACCGGCTTCTGGAAATTTGTTCTTCAGCTGACAGACACGGATCCCGTGAATTGAAACGCAGAAAACTACTTCATCCCCGTTGCTATCAAAACCTCCATAGTGCATCCAGGCACCGTAGCTCTCCAACTCTTTACAAATGTCAAGGGCCGCCGAGACCGCTTCCTCGCGGGTCATCCCGCGATGCGATTTATGCAAATCTTTGACCATCACCTCGTAATCCTCCTCGCTAATGTTCCCGTCGGAGTTAATACCCGTGGGTGGGCAGTAGAATAATCCTAAAAGATCTTCTAGATATCCCGGCTTGTGTCTCTTGGCACTGAAATCCCCGAGCATGGCTTGCACGTAGAATCCATCGATTAAAGCATGCTTGCTAACGGGGAGGGAAAACTTTCCTCGGTTTATGAGCGCCTTCAGCTGGCGCAGGATGAGTATTTGCATGTCTTTCGAAAGTTTAATGGGGTCTGGCGGGAACACTTTCACGGCGAATTGGTACAACAAGGGTTTGGTCTTTCGAGAAGAGCGGATTTCTTTATCCAGATTCAGCCAGGCGACGTCACCATCTTCGCGATCGATGTACTGCAGACCAAAGTACTGCTTGTAATAGGGAGGGACTTGAGCTTTTTCACACACTCTGTCAAACAGCTCACTTCCCTGCACTGTCTTCTCATCAAATGTCGTGCTGAATTGCGAGTTGTCGAGGAGCACAACTTGACATTCTAATACGTTCGAAGTAGATCGAAGAAATTTTAAAGACATGGTTAGTCACACACGATCTTTCCTTGTGAATCAGGTAGTAATTGCAACGTTGTGGTTGTCTCTCTCCGATGAGAAATTTCCTGCACAAACATTCACAGGAAATATCGATAGTTTCGTTCTACACAACCTCCTGATCCTTGGTCAAATATTGGGCGTTCCTACAATACCTACTGTTGTTTGTAATTGGATGCTATTTTTACCTCTGTTTATACGTGACCACTTTTGAGGCAGGGCTAAAGAGCATCTTGGAAACGCCGGATTAACACAGATCAGATGACCATGACGTTGGTCGAACTATGTGGAAAATGAAAGCAAAACATTTTAGCCGCGAGTTCCCGTCGTAGTTGTAATAATGAAATTAGTGATCGTGCTAATGGCAACAAAAGAATGTATAAATTATTAAATTGGAGACAACCAAATATTGGTTAATGGTCCATAAGCATGGTTTATTAAATAACACTAGTGCACTTTTCATGACGTCATCTTGCGCCGGAAAAGGTAGTGTATCACACACAGTGCAAAGGCGTGATACAGAGCATGATGGCTCTCACGCAATCTTTCGTGCTGTTGAAGGCCAGATGCAGTCAACCTGATCAAAAAAGGAACATTTGTTTATTTGTATTAGCCTGATGTTATCATCAATGGAATTGGCAAAGGTCCTACATACCAGAAGAAAATTTATTCTCATTGCGGAAACACTGAACGGGAGACTAATGAAACTTGTGATTTTTCTCTCTTGCGACATAAATTCCTGCTTATTTTTTCGCGGGGGAACAAATCCATTTTTACAATCGAATGCTTCTCTCTTTACTTTCTTAAGCTGTGAACGTCGTTGTCAAAAGAATCAACCTGTCCTCTAGGACATCTCTAGTGATCAAACCAAACTAATATAATAGCAAGCTTATAACCTTCACGAGCCGAGTTATTACAAGTTTCTGACTGTTTTTATGATTGAGGTTGCTTTGTAGAGGACTTTAATTTCGTCACGTCCTTTACATGTGATCAGTGGAGTCAACCTTTATAATCCCTAAAAAAGACAAAAGGGAAAAAAGAGGAAAGGGAAGATCAAGGTAGACTGCAGTAACGTTTTTCTTTACACCAGACTCATGGCCTCAGATTTTAAGTGATTCTTTTCATACAGAAAAATACTTTGGTTCCGAAATGAAGTGTACTGTGAAGAAGAGTCACGCAGAAATCCCGGTGGGTTTCTGCTCTGTTGATTTCGTAGTGATCTGAAATAACTGGACATGAAATGTGAGACAGACACGCGAAAAACGCGCGAGATTTGCGCGGGAAACCTTTGAGAGTCACGAGGACCAATGAGAGGGCAGGATTGAATACAAACAAAATACTTCAGGGAGTAATATTTTTTGCACGACGATCACGGTAATATTTGAAATGGTGTCCGCTTAATTTTTGAATGAGCAACGTGCTGCGCACTATTTCTAGTATTCACATTTCAAAGAGCGAAAATTTCCGCAACGAACAAAGTTGATGTTTACTTGATCCAAAAAAGAGCTTTGCTAAGCTGTTTCACTTTCGAAATGGCGTCTGTTACGAAATCAGTGAGATTTGGGAGAAGAAAATCAATGGGAAAACTAGAGTGTCAAGTTGTACTTCTAGATAATTCCCTCTTTGTGGCTACTTTTGACAAGAAGTCTACAAAAGGACAAGAGCTTTTTGGCAATGTGTGTCATAAGCTTGGTTTGCCGCCAAATGCGAGAAACTACTTCGGGTTACAGTTCGTTGATGGGGTCGATGGCGAGTTGTCGTGGCTTGATTTAGAAAGAGAAATACGACCTCAGCGAAGAAAACCTTACACTTTTCAGTTTGCTGTCAAGTTCTATCCATCAGATGCCAGCGTCGAGTCCAAAGAAGTCCAGGAACTATTGGTTTTACAAATCAAAGATTCTTTGATTCGGGGTAAATTTGTCACTTCGGTCAATGAACATGCGATCTTGGACGGGTTCTTCGCTCAAGCCCTTCTTGGGGACTTCAAACCTAAGTTTCACACTCGTGGCTACCTGGAGGATTTATTGGGATCATTTTTTGCTCCACCGAATGGAATAAATTGTGATGTTGAACTGAGCGAAGATAACTACGAAGGCATGGTGTACAATTTACATCGTTCGCATAAAGGTATGACCGCGAGCGAGGCAAGAATCGCTTTCTTGGAGATCGCCCACTGCCTTCCGTTTTACGGTATGTCGTTACACCATGGAGCGACGGATAAAAACGGTAATTCAGTGGTGTTGGCTACTTGCAGTAGCGGAGTTCTTGTATTCGATGTAGATAACTTTGGAGCACCGGGTAATGTGACTGTGAACTTCCCGTGGCATGAAATCGTCACCATGATTTATCAAAACAGGAAATTTTATGTGGTTGTTTACTCAGAGGAAAGGAAAGACGGAGGTAGTTTTTCGTACAGGTTTCACGGGCATTTCGGTCACAAGGCCGCAGAAAGAGTTCTCAACGACGCTTTACAGCATCAGGCGCTTTTTCACCAGCCAGAGAAGAAGCTATTTCGACGAAGCAAGTCCTTTGGCGAGGTGGATTCTCATTTGGCCATGGGGCAGTTCAAGCGGAACGACAAGAAATACGCTACGACTACTGGCAAGATCCGTAGCCGCGGATCTTTCAAGAAATTCACCGATTCTATCAAACGAAAGATGCCTCGGAGGCAGAGAAGTGCTAACTTGTCGGATTCAGCAGTTGAGGAAAGCCCCAACACTAGCGTAATGACTTATGTGTAAAGTCTTTCTTTGTTACAAATTAATTGTACATTCGCGTATCTGTAGTATTGAATACACGTGGCTAGCTATAAATTTGCTATTTAATACCTTAACAGTGGCAAAAGTCTTTGAAGCGAGACGAAGTGCTTTCGAAGGACTAGTCCATATGTAAGGGACTATCACGATAGGTTAATTTACATACTGCTTTCCCCAAGGTCAAAGATGTAGGCAATATTGTTTACAGTAGAACCCCGTTAATACGACCACATTCGGGCCATGGAAAATTGGTCGCATTAACGGGATGGTCGTATTAAAGGGATTCTTTAAATAAGAAAATGACTGACTGAGCTTTTTTGGGCCAGAATAAAGTGGCCGCATTAACGAGGTGGTCGTATTAATGGGGTGGTCATAAGGCTGGGTTCCACTGTATTTATTTTTGCAGTGTTTGCTAATGATCAATATCTATACCAAGATCTTGTCACTTCAGAAGAGAGAGAGATGGTAAAGAATTGAAAAAGGGAATTATGTTACTTATATATATACTTTTTAAATAACTGGTTCACTTTGGAAATGGGTAACAAACCATTGCGACATCCTTTAGGGGGTAGAAAGGGTACCAGAATCTCCCTTGCCAGTGCCTTAGACGTCATGGCCTCCTCCCCTCTTCTCTAAAAATGTTACTGATCTAAGCTTATTGGCATTAGTCAAATGGTTGAAGTATTTTGGCTAAAACTGACGATTGTGTTAGTCCAGAGCTTTGAGTGTTTGCTTCTAAATTGCCATAAGACTAACTGAATAATGGAATCATTAGAATGGAACTTGCATATCATATGACAATAACAAGTACGCTAGAAATATTTCCATTAGAATGCATCAGAAGCATATCACCTGGGTGATATGCTTCTGAATGCATACATAGGAAGTCTTTGAAATATTACGTTTCAAAAGCTTGTGTAGTTCCAGAAAATATCCATACCTCCCCCACGGAAGGGGTCTTTTCTAACACCTCCCCACCCCTCTGGAAATTCCAGTCAAGCTTCATACATTTCTTTAAATTTTCTGGTCTTCCAGAACCCCCTACCTCCCCCGGAAATTCCAATCCCTTCTGTGGGAGGAGTATGAATATTTTCTGGAATTACACAATGCAATATTTTGACAAAGTGTTGTCATAAATATTATCAACCAGGGATGGTTAAGCTTCAAAGAAGCAGTCTATAGTACATTGTATATGTACATACAATGTATGCAAGGAAGCAAATATCTGAAGAGGACCAAAATTTCAATTTCATCTCCCTTGGGGTGTTGTTTCCTTATTTTTGAATTTTGAGTCGTTGTACTACAATTGATGCTTGTAACATGGTGTTGCCTTCTGATGGGAGTTTTTCATCATGTATTCGAAGCTCTTACAATTCCTTAGTGATGTTCACATATTTCAATGTGCCACAATTGTAGTTGTTTATTTAAAAAAATTATCTATTATTAAACTGATGTGAAAAAACAGCAACACTTATTTTAAGGCTGATGTGCTTTAGTATGCTGGACAAAATCTTGCTCTGACTTTTCAATGATAAAACGTTATTAATCAATGGTTTCAAACCAAGGTTGGTTGTTGTTGACAGCTTATGTCTCACAGAGTTAAGATACTGTGGTGAAGACATTTGTTGTTGGAAATTAAAATTAGACATGCCATATCTGTGTTGAATCTTTTTGTGTGATAGCTTTGTGTGATAACTTTGAAAATGGTACCACTATTTACTGGAAAATGGGCTTGGACCTGTGGTAACCCAAAGACCTAACAAGTTGTAATGTCTGGCTATCCTGGGCTCAGGATAATGCTATCCAATGGATAAATCACTATGCAGCGGTGGATAGTACAGTTTGTTTTACTAATGCATATCTAGTGAATACCAATTATCCAATGAATGGTGTAACAACTAGGCCCTGTTTTTGCGACAATCAGTGAAAAAAATAATGCAGACCAAGCCACAGTCAAGTTTGAGTTGAAGCATTTATTCCAGTCAGTCTTGAGAAGGTAACAAAGTCGAATAACATTCAATTTTGCTAATATTTAACATATTTAGAGTTACTTGACATGTTCCAAGTCAGATAGAAGAAATGCTAAACTCTACAAAGTTGAGGCTATTTCTGATGCAACTGAAATGTTATATACACACTTCAAAGTGATTAATATACCATGCTTTTTTCCTTCAAGTTTTACAGTAGAGTTGAACCTCCACTAACAGCCACCTTCCTACAATGGCCACTTATCTTCCTCTCAGGAGATGGTCCATACATTCCCTCTTATTTTAACCTTTCAATAACGGCCACCTCTCCATAATGGCAACCGCCACCAAAGCGTGTCCCAAACTACGAAAATAACCTCCCCACAGCAGCCATTTAATCAACAACTGACAAATGCTGTGTACAAAACCCCATGTTATATAATTTGTAAAAGGTCACAAAACTTGATCTGTACCACAAGTCGTTGGTATCTGTTTCTGTTTGGTTTCTGATTTGTATATATGTATATCTCTATCATGGTTGCATTAGGTATTTCTATGCTACAATAAGCATTTTTAAATATAACAAATAATGTACCCCTGAAAAAAAAAGTGTCATATTACACCCCTCTCTCCCCATAATGGCCACCTCTTGAAAACAGCCACTTTTCTATCTCCAAGGTGGCTGCTGTGGAGATTTTAATCTGCAATATTTTACTCTTTGAAGAGGACAGGAAATGGTTTAAGGCTGGTAAACACCCTGCCAGAACCTGTGTCCACCTTCAAGTTGTGATTGAAGACTTTTATTGAGTATAAACAATAATATAAACAATTGGAGGTAATGAACTGGTGACATAATGCATTTTATCAAAGCCAGGTAACTTATGGCAAAAATGTTATAATTATAGAATTGATACACTGTTATATGTACAAGTTTCAACATAAGTATGGATTTATGAATATTAAATTTACTTACTTCTAGCACTGGTCAGTGTAATTCATAAAACATTACATGTACAATTCTATATGTAACAATGAAGTTTACAAATTGAATTTGGTTGGCAGAAATAGGGGCAGATCCAGAAAATTCAGATAGAGTGGGCAGAGCACAGTGTAGCAAATTCAAGCCAACCTCCCCCCCNGTCTTTTCTGAAATCCCTTAAATATAGATGAAAAAGCAATATACTACACAATGTGACTTAAATAACACTTGGTGATTCTAATATACTTTGTTATTGCTGTCCTTTACAATGCAATTTTGATTCTGTACATGCTGTGATTGGTTAAAAAGCCATCATTCTTTTTTATCAGGGTATAAACTATAGCAAAGCATGTTTCAATTTTTGTGGGATTAAATCTACATCATAATGACTACAACTAATTAACCCCTAATTAAGAACCACACTGTCACAACACTCCTGCTTTCTAAATTATTCTCTCATGATCTCAAATTTCCACAAGTCATTTTTTATGACAGTATAACAATGACATGAACATGTTGAAAGTTTCTCCAATTGTCGATTAAACACTCATCACTTGTAGTGATGCCTTTCTTAACAAGTCAGTGGTTACAAGTAATCCAATGTTGTATGACAATAAAGAGTAAAACAAATAAAAATTAATAGAAGGTTATGTCGTCAACTGTTTAAATGATGTTCACATTGCTATGATTTCTACAATTGATTTTCCGCAAAAACAGCCATTCAAGTCTCTTAGCGATACCCTTCATCTTACATTATATTTCCTACTCCAGTAACCCCAGATGTTTAAGTACAACAACAATTCAAAAGGATCACATTTGACAGTATTTATGTATATACAGGTAATATTAAATTAAAATCAAGCCAAAAGGCTTGTACATGATGGTCTGAAGCAATAGAAATTTCACAAACACCATTTGATTGGTAATAAGATTTGCCTCTGCTGTCACCAAAATTTTCATGTATGGTTTGCATGCATGTACATGCAGCTCCAAATGTACACTGTAACAAATTCACATTTACCTCTGCGAACATAATGCTTTCAAGATAAGATTTCTGTTATTCTATGTTAGAGTGATAATAATCTCTAATACAAACTCAGCAACTTTTCTAGGTGTGAATCATCTTTCATGAGTCTGTTATGATAGTAATAAATAACCGTCAATGGGAAATAATCACATGGTTTCGCATTTTCGCACTCAAAAAGGAAATGCTCTTTCAAAACACTGTAATAGGCCAAGCAGAAAGAGAAGGGAATCTCCGTCTTGCAGGGTAGTCTTGAGTGATTTCGAGACAAAAACAATAATTACATGTATTGACTATCAGAGAAAATTTGTCTCCATATCAAATACTTCCAGAATCACAACATACCAGTAAGTTAATCTCTTCTGCCTAAAGGCATACTAACCAGCACTCCTCTGGAGCATACTGCTGCTTCTGTCACTTCCAAACAGATGCCGACAATAATTGACACTGCAGCAGTAAAGCTGTTAGTACAAGCTAGCTACAGAATGTAAGTTGACAATAATTAGGATAAAACTACTGAAATGATCACTTTTTTGACTGCAAAATGATTGTATTGGGTTTTAAAAACTCTTTCACTGAGATTGGGCTGATGATTAAAGAGTAACACTGCTTGGAACACTGTCCAGTTCATAATACTCATGAGTGATTTTTTCTGAGCCCACACTGACAATCCTCATTCCTGAATCTTTGTCATTGTTAATTTGCTGACCAATAGCACTTGTGACAACCATTTCCAACCCCTCATCAAAACCACCGGCATTTCTGTGATAATGACCTGCAAAAACATATTTAATTCCTGCGTTCTTTATCTTTGTTAGCATTTGTTTGCGTATGTTTTTCTTAATATTGAAATAACCGTCATTCTCATCAGGATTGCCAAAAAACCAAGGAATGTGTTGAAACACCACAACATGTTGTGCTCCACATGTTTTTGCGAATCCAAGCTGTTCATCTAGCCAGTTGTCTTGTTCCTGTTTGTGCTTGGTTACCTGACTGGCATCTTTATAAAACTGACTATTGAGAACTATAAAGAAAACTCCTAAAAAGAAAACACAGAGAAGTTAAAATTACCTTGTAATATTTCACACCAATGTGATAACTGACAACTAAAGGAACATATTTGTATTATTATGCATGCAAATACTGAGTTGAACCCTTTCAAAACATGTATCAATGAAGTTCTTTTATCTTTATCAAGTCATTTTTGGAAGATGCATGCACGTTTGTCAGTCTAAAGGGGAATAGTCTCAAGGTGTGATAACAAAACAGAAACAATTTTTTTCCAATTATTGGATGACTTTGCCAAGGAAAACAGTTGAACATGCTTCAATTATTTCAGCAGACACAAGGCATCCCTCATTTGAATCAATACAAGGGTGTCAGTGGAGACTGTAGCTAGCGTCATGGCTTTGCAATACAAATGATTTAAGAGCTGTAAATCAATTGAGTGTATGTTTGCCTTCTACAGCCACTTCATTATATACATGTATATCAACAAGTTTGATGAAAATGTTTTAGAGAGCCCTTGCTTACTGTACATACAGGTCTTGTATCCAGTTTGACCTAGAATTTGAAAATGCTGGTTTTTCAAGAGGGAGGAAAACTGGAGTACCTGAAGAAACCCCTTGGAATCACAACAAACTTAACCACATCTGTCATATGGCACTAGGCCGGAATCAAACCTGAGCCACACTGTGGGGAGGCAAATGCTGTCACCACTGTGCCATCCCTGCTTTTTTTCATTTTTGAGGGCGTTTTAAAGAATTCCAAAGACATTTAAAACACTTCTTGGTGTGTTTCACCAAACAATGCTGTCACCAGTGCTTTTCCCTTGAATATGAGAGAATTGGGATGTGTTCTGTCATTTACAGGAGCATTTCTTTTCTTTCATATTTCCTTTAATTAACTTTCAATATTTTCAAAAATGCCTGAGTTAAGGCTGTAATATCTGAAGTTTTCGACCTTGGGGTGTGAGACTCTCTCCTGGCTAAGGATAAACAGGAAACTGAAAACTTAAGACTTCCCTGTTTTACTAATTAGAGAGAAGCCAATGAATAAGAAATGAGACTCACTTTTGTCTTCCCTGGGAAATCCCCTTTAACTTAGTGCACCTTGCACTCAAGCATTTAGAACCTCATTTGTATCTCAATTAAGACAGAAAACATCTGATAGCTAACGGAAAAATGAAAAAACTTTTTCTTGAGACCTGTAAGGTCTGACATGCACAATCAAGCTATTGTTCCCACATGCTGATACTAAATGGCCAAAGGGCTTTAAGTCTTTTAACAGAACTGGTTTGGAAAATGGCACCCAATCTGTATTGAATTGTACAGGCTTATTTTTTTGTAGTATTTTGCAGTATTGCATTCATATTTCACCCCTCATTCATGTGCCAGCTTCAAAGTAAAGACGTTAAAGTTTGTATGAGCCTACAATTTTAGATCGCGTAAGAGTCTTTCCACCCCGTTCTGTACACCTCCAAGACAACATTTTTACGTGTGCAAATTCAGATCAAGTCCAAAATTTCTAAATAACGAGCTTATTAGTCAGCTTTGTGCAACCGTGGAGTGAAAATCTTTACTTTATTCTTTTTCCACGGGCCTCACTGCATGCATGCGACCGATAAATAGTCTTGACTTTCTAGCCCGCTGTCCCTCCCACGCGATGCATGGTCCACAGTAGTGAGTACATGTACCGGTAAGTAGTAAGCCTTTACACCTTCTCTAAATCTTTCACGTACTGGACAATTTTTTTGTTAATTGAAGTTAAGGTGAAGAACTATCCTTATAATTAGGTAGCTTCTTGAAACGACCTGGCTGCACAGTCCATTATTAAAATGGACCTTTTGAGGACTCCAGAGCGAAATGTTTTTAAAATATGCAATTGAAAACAATCGACGATAATGAAACATTTAATGGACAAGAAACATTGCACCTTATCTTTGCGGAAGGAATAAAGATGTAGTTAAAATTATCGTATAAAGCGTTGCCTAAAAAAGTCCAAAAACTTACCTCCAACCCAAAAAGAATAGAAGTCATCGCCGAAATTGTTCCTATACTTTTGCAAAGATTCTTGTGTTGGCGAATCTCCCACGTCGTGGTTTCCACAAACGCAAATGAGCGGTATACTGGGGTCGAGTTCTTTGAAAATCTTCTTAAAATCCTCAACTTGTGGATCGTTATATTGTTCCCAAGGAAAAGCGTTCACCAAGTCACCACAAACCACAAAGAACCGTGGTTTCGGTGACAACTTGTTTGCGGCCGAAATGGCCTTTCGCGTCAGGACGATCTCCTTCGCCCATGTTTGCTCAGCAAGCGGGACTTCATTCCATGAATCGATCAGACCAAATTGCGTGTCTGCAGCATGGATGAAACAGAAAGGACCTTGCCACCTCCCTTCTGTTTCGTAAGTAAAACCAGGGTACTTCTTGTTAACGGCCTTTGTAAGCGCGCCTTCTGCCATCTTGTCGATCCAACACCTGCTCTTCCGAATAGGAAGAGACCTGGAACTAGTCTGTGATAAAACATCCTGTTTGCACTTTGTCATTATCCTCCGCAAGATTTGTCAAACAAAACGAGAAAAAATTAATTTGCGCTTTTTCTGGCATTTCAGACAGCAGGTGTATTAATTCGAGGCTCGCTTGTTTTTCCAAAAGTGCGTAGTCTGCTAGCGTGACTGAAATGGCGTTACATTAAAACTGTTGCAAGTGATCTGGGTCAAAGCGGTCGCGCACAACGCCTGTTTGTTTTTCAAAAAAGAAAGACGTGATGTTGGAGTGGCGCGCTCTTCCAACTGTGGTTCGGATGCAGCATTTTTCTTACGTTCTGTGCGGTGCTTCTATTTGTCAGAAAGCTCCAACGATAATGATTTGACAATATGTCATGGAGAGGTAATAACTGATCTAAAACAACATTTATCAATCTTTGATGTGTGATTACAAAAACATTCAGCTCCGAAGATCTTTGAACTCTGTCTACTGTTTTGATCTAGCAGTTGAGAGCCCTTTGCTTCCACTGATCATTTGATTGAACCACTTCGCCCAGTGCAGCTGTTGTTAAGTTTCCTTTATCTGCGTCAACACCCTTTGATCTTACCTTAAATGTACAATTGTAAATTTATGCAAAACTAACCTTTAGCCTGCTGTATGATGAAAAGTTTTGTGGTGAATGTGTAAATGCGAGATGTGTTAACATTATAATTCCTACACTAAAATTCTTGACTCTAATTAGTTTTCCACACACCTATGGTCTATTTGCCACAGAACTGACGTGGGTGGGTGTTTAGTTACAGGTTTCCAATTTCAACTTTTCATTACTGGATACCAGTAATTGGACACCTTTGGACATCTGTTATTGGACAATTATGTGTGCTTCTTAGTATTTCCCTACAGTTTGTAAGACATCTGGAAAATAATATTAATAGCTTTTGCTCAAAAGAAGTTCTTGAAGCTTTCTTAACCTTGAATTTGCTATCAAGCCTTATCAATAATTTTTGAAGAAGGGGACTTTTGATTTAAAAAGAAGGCAGCAGTTGGTGTTTTTTTGTGTTTGAGGAGAGAGGTGAATTTCAGTGTTAACCTCCCCATTGAATGTTTTCAATTATTGTTATTCACATTTACCCTGGTAGTTAAATTTGGTTTCAATTATTGTTAAAACTTCGTAAAAAATGGCAAATTATCTAAAATTATGAAGTAAGTAAAATATAAAACAAATAAAATTTTTATGCTTGTATTATGGATTAGCTGAAAATAATATGCCATGTCCCCAAATGCTGCGTGCACACACTAATTTGTCCCAAAACTAATTTAATACTATTTTATAGTATTTGGACCATATCACTAAAGAATTGGCATCTTTTTTTTACTATGAATTCTCTTTCGCCGTTGCACGTAGTTTTTTAATTACTGTATCTTAAAATTAATGATAAACTTCACAATGTGTTTGAGCTCTAAGGTACCTTCGGGAACACATTTTTTGTGCTGACTCTTGCCAATGCCATTTTTTACGCAAAATAATTATTACAAAAAAAAAACAAAACAAAGATTGTGCTGATACATACAGCAATCATTTTATTTGCTCTGACTATACGTGTGCTGTGTTATTTTTCTTTTAAATGACACAGTTTGCTGCAGGTTTTAGTCTTTTTGTTATAAAGGTTTGTTTGAAAAAGTGAAGATGCATTTAGAACACAGCAATTTTTCAGATTCTTCTTTGTTACCAAAAGAACTGTTCTAGTTCATGCCTAGTACACTGTAAGTCAAAAAATTGAGACCGAATGCTGTAATAAATATCTCTCGGAAATATGCTACAGTGCTTGTATGTCTGAGGTCCACTAGTTTGAATTTCACAAAATTTGGCAAGAAAGTACTTCAATAAGAAAATAAGTACTAAGTGGATTATCAAAAATATCTGCAGTTAAAGAGGGTTATTGACCAAGCGTGAGGTCAAGATGTCTGGATAGCGGCCAAGTTCACAGTATAGGATTCAGTTCTTCTTGCTTGCTTAAGGAGCTAGCCCTATTATAAATTTAGTTATTAAAATTGTGTTAGTACAGTATGCAAGCAATGTTGAAACTAGGTTGTTGTTGCAAATGTTTAAGAAAGTAACATGTAGATTTTCTGCAAATGAACAAACCGTTACCTGGTAGTAAAGGCCTGTTTAAATCTATTTGCATTAGCATGATCACACATAAAAGTAACCTACTTTGCTTCCTGAAGTTGCTGACATTTCATATCAGTCTTTGGTGCTGATTGAAAAGGCTGGTTATTGATACAAATAGAGCTTATGCTGTACAATTTAGGGAGTAATATCATGCTGTTACTATTGCATCACATGTAAAAAGTTTCAAAATGGCCTCGCACTATGTCAGTGCTAATTTCAAATTTGAAATTACTTGCCCGATTACTCGCCGAATTCTACTTACCTAATTTCACATCAGCAGCAAAATTCTTTTTAATTCACAGGCCCTCTGCAGCTTTGTGCATCCATTCTTGCAGGGTAAGAGCAATAATAATGATTAAAAGTATCTTCTGTTTACCAAATAAAGAAGCCTAAGCTGTGCTGTGTACACGACAAGCATTTGAGAACACGAGGGAAATGTACAAAACACGAGTCGCAGGCGTGTATCTTCTACATTTCTTGGGTGTTTTCAAATGTCCAGAGTGTTTTATCACAGTGTAATACACGGCTTAGGCTTCTTCATTTGCTTTATGATATAGATTTTACACGCTGCCAGTAGAAACAAAAAAGCACACAGATCGACAAACTGACGCAATTTAATACCACTGAAGGGCTACATGCCTTGTCTTCAACTTCGCAGAGAACTCCATCACAAATTTCTTCAAAGAAAATATTTTTCGCCATCTCTAACAAAAATGTTGACTAGAGGTAATGTGGTGAAAAACAATAAAACATGCTTTTTCTATGTTTTATACTCTGATAAAACATGGGTTTTTGACCAATCAGAGTGCGTGCAGGGTCCTATCTATATTATAATAGAAGCTATAACTCTGTATTGAATAATAAATTAATTTGAAAGATGAAAGGCTCAGCATGTTGTGAGTGTGGAAAAAAGTCCCCGAAGGATTTGAACCCATGATCAGATCTTCCAGATAATCGTTGGGTACTCTAACCACTGAGCTTCTGAGAGACTCATTGCTAGCTACATGTAGGCCATTTAATAGATTCATATAATAAAAATATACAGGTATTTGGTTCTGTGACTGATTTTCAACACTACAGTAACTGATAATACCAATAAATTTGCTAGCGTAAGAGTAATTTATTATTGTTACATCAACCCTACTTTCACAGCCCCTCAAAAGTATATATCACCTAGTATCATCTAATAATAATAATAACAACAACAACAACAACAACATTTATAAGGGTTGTAAAGAATGAGTGTAATTTGTAATTTGTTTGTAAGTTAGTATTTCCCTGACATATATATTGTCCTAAGAATTTTTACAGTTGTGATTTTTTATAATAATAATAATAATAATAATAATATGTATTTAGTTTTTTTATTCTGTCAATGTAAATGAAGAAATAAATGAATTCAAAAAAAAAATAAAAATAATGATAATAATAATAATAATAATAATAATAATTTAATCACGTTTTCACTTTAGAGTGCTATTTACATTTACTGATCAACAGCGCTTTACAACTGAAAATACTACAATAAAATTCAAATTTGTAAAACTAATTACATGTACTGGTATATATCTCTCTCTTGTTTTATTTCTTCAGTGCTGGCTTCATGACGTGGGAAATTGCCCATAATATTGAAAGTGTGCTTGTCAAAGAGGAGAGGAAAACTAATGCTGGCTTTGATTTTACTGCTGATGTTAATGCTGATAGTAGCCATGTCTTAGCCGAATGTGTAAGAGGTATGTGACAGATTTGAAAGAGAGATTCACACTTAAGAAAAGCCATCATGAACATTCTATACAAAGGTTATGGTAGTAAACTTTAAAATCACATCATAAGCAAAGCAAAAATAGATCTTACTGAGCTGTGGCCAGCTAGTGCTGTTTCCGAAGGTTTTGGTATACCCTGTAAAATGAAGTCTATCTTCAATGGCAGATTTATAATAAGAATATTTATTTTTTATGCAGTCTTGCCAACATGAGATGGATAGTGGCCACTGCTGAAGAACTCTAAACCTATATTAGCCAGTGGTTTTAATATAATTTGTAGATAATACAAGGTATAAAAAAGAGTTGAAGTCTGCATACAAGCTAAGTGGCCCATCAGGCCAGAGCTTATCCTGGTATCTGTAGCATGAAACGACTAGGAGTATTTCTGCTCTCCCCTGGATGGGATACTGGTCCATTTTAGGGTTACCCCAGCATTAAGTTCGCTGGTACCCACTTATACTGTACACCTGGGTGGATAGAGCACTGAGAGAGTAAAGTGACTTCCCCAAGAACACAATGCAGTGTCCATGGGCAGGGCGCAAACCTGGACCACTCAATCTGGGGGACGAGTGCACTAACCATGAGTTCATTGTGCCTCACAAAGATGATACAAGACAGTATAAAATTTATGAACAATTTTTAATGAAATAATGATTAGATCTGAGGGTATTCTTATTCCTCATTTTTCTAGTACCTTGGTTAGATGAGGCTTGGAATTACACCAATACAGACAATTGGCAAAAGGCATTGTGGTCAAATGTGCCAAACAGTTTAGTTACCCAGTTTTCTAAAGGTACCACTGTGTTATTGTGATACATGTATGCCAGTAGATGTACCTTCCTAACAATGTTAAAAATTAAGTTTTGATTCTAAGATACATGTATTTAAGTTAATAACTACTAACTACTAACTACCAACTACTCACTACTAAATAAAATTGAAATAAGTAGATGCTTCTAAAAATGCTAACAAACTGAGGTCCTGTTTTATGTAGGACCCAGTTTTTATAACTAAAATGGTCATCCTGCATAGATATGTTTATTTATTATTATCATTATTATAATTTACAAATGAATAATCATGTTGTTTTGTAAAAATTACTTCTAAATTCTCAATAGCTGTGTAACAGTTTCTAATTTTCATCAGTTAATTATTGATGAATCTTGCATGTAACATTTGGTAATTGTTTTCTTACAGCCCTGTCTTCTCCATTGGCCATTCGTTTTTCAATACCTCAGAAATTCTTTGGTTTTCTTCAAGAATTTGACGATGATGATGCTAGGATTCTTGGAACACAAATGCTGGCTTCACTTGAGATTCCTGATGGTAAATAATTTGTACCTGTAGCTGTATAATAAAAATATTAATGATATGGTTTTCATGATCATGGTACAATAGAGTAAGTGAAGTAAATAGAGGGTACAGCAGGTGATATAAATCACGAGGGTGGGTGTAAGTCTGAAAATGTAAAAGAGAATGTAATCTGAGTTCAATTGAACATCTTGTACCATACTGCAAGGCTGCCATGGGATTCAACTTCATTGTTTCCATGTACAATAAGATAATGAGTTGCCTTTGGTACTGTAAGTAGTTTTTTCTGGCTAAAAAAATAATGGGAAAGTGGGAGAGTCATCTTGGTCCCTCTCTCATACATTTTTGCCAACATTTTCCATGCTCACCATCACTTTTATGACAATCAGGTTATTAGTGTATAATTCTAGGCTATTAAAAGTTTATAATTATTGTTAGAGTCACCTGTTGCACATTTGCTTGACTTTGATTGTGATTAAACTCTTGCATGACAAGTGACTAGTGTGTGCTCTCTGTTTGTCTCTCACCCCTTGTAACTTTAGAGGCAGAAACTGAGAAGCTGAATGAACTTGTGGCATCTTGCGATAACAGAATACTGATTGGTTTGGCCAGGTTACCAGGGCTTGATACCAGACTGCTTGGTGTGCACAGAACAGAACCAGAGGTTAGGCCACTGAAAATACATACATCAGAGTCCCACATTTATTGTGACATATTCACAATATCCTATCCCATGCAAGAACATTGGGCCTGTCCATCATTGCATGCTCATTGTCAATCATTGTTAGTGATAGGGATATATAACTGAGATATAGTTCGATTTTATCTGGCGTACATACTACATGTAGTTATGCAACACTCTTGAGTGGTATACCATGGAATATCCCATGAATCACATGGGTCTGCACATGGGCCAAGTGGCCCGTCAGACCAGCCTGTATCTCTGGTATCTGGTAGCCTGAATTGACCAGGAGTATTTTTACTCCCTCCTGGATGGGATGCCAGTCCGTCATAGGGTTACCCCCCCTCCCCCCCATTATTAAATTCACCAATACCCATTTATTCACCAGGGTGGAGACACGCACTGTGAGAGTAAATGAAAGGCCGCGTGCAAGAACGTCCCCTAGATTTTTTGGGCATTTTGAAAGTGCTCAAAAATAGCTGAATTTTGGCATGTAGGCTTCGTTGTACCTGAGAAACATTGCTCTGAATTTTTTTGGCTGGGGCGCTCTTCGTTCTCGAGAAATAACGTATGCAAAAAGCTCAGTTTTCCAAGCGGCATCTTTTGGAGATCTTTTGTTGAACAAAAA